CTGGGTTATTTAAAAATTTGTGAAACTATTAAAATTGATGGTAAAAAAAATTTGGGGGACCCAAAAACCTACTTTGGAAATTTTTACCCCAAATTTTTTTTCAATTCATTCAAAAGGGAAAAATACTTGAAATAAAAATTAATTTTTTGCTCGGGGAAAAAATTAAATTTAAAATTTTGTGAAAGCGAATGGTTTCTTTAACCCCTTTTTCAGTTTGCAATTTTTCCGGGGGTTTTGGGTCTTTAGAGGAAAGGGAAATTTTTAACGGTGATTAAAAAATGCGCCGGTTTTTCCCCGGAAATTAAAATTTTCGCTCGGAAAAATTTATTTACTCGTGCTTTTGCGTTTAAAGCAGTAGTCAATAAAATTTTTAAACTTTTGGGGAAAAGGGAATTTTTTTGCTAAATATTTCCCCAAATTTAAATTTCATTGACACAGTTTAAAAAGGAAAAAAATACGGTGGATCATTTCTTGAAAAAATTAAAATTGCCCTGCAAAATTTAAAAAAGGGGAACCCAAAAAGGGGGTCTAAAGACGAATACGTCCTTAAAAATTTATGAAAACCCCTTTTCTTAAAATTTGAATTTAAAATTAGTTTTTTTTTTTCTTATTTTTCCTTTTTATTGGCCAAATGGTCCCCTTTTCCAAAAATTGAGGGGTTTCTCATGACCCAAAGCCCCGGGTGATGTCGGTGTAAAAGGGGGTGTTAAAATTGTTCCTTTTCTGTCAAAAAATTTCCATTATCTGTCATAACAATATTCAACCCGACCGAGTCTGAATTTTTTCATCTTAAGGTTTGTACTTATGAAGTTATTGCTGTCGATATAGCTCCCTTTTTATAGATATGACTACTTCTAAGTTTGTTAAAAAATAAAGGGTTATACGAGTATGTTGTGCATACTTAAAAAGTTGATAACTTTGTGTAATACAAAATAAAATAATATAATCACTTACATGAACGAAAATTCAATCCAAATAAGGCAGGCAGTTGACAATGTTATTTCTTTCTTCAGAATTTGTCACTTTGAACAATGAAATGCCTATAGAAATTTATAGTTCCTCCAAAGATTGTTAGTTACATTCAAGTTGCCTCATCTGTACATTGTCCTACAGTTTGTGCAAATTACAGTTTATTTGTTCCGAATTTAGAAACGTAACGCACTGATATCGATTACCGACATTGAAAATTGCGATGACTCATTAAGCCCCCATTAAGCCGAAACAAAGAAACCACGATGGTGAAAACTCGATATAATATCTTGTTTCCACCATCGTTTTTTCGTCCTTTCACCATCTTGGTTGCGTTGTTTTATTTTTTTCCGATTTTCGCCATTACACTTTTGACCTTTTATCATAATATGTCTTTACACCATCATTGTTTCATTATTTCGAATTTTCACCATTACACTTTCGACTTTTTATCATCGTTGATTCGACTCTACACCATCACATCGTTGTTTCGCCTTACTGTCTGGCATGCGCCCAGTGATCATAACAATGGATGACGATAAAAGAAAATACTTTACCAATGCTACAATCACAATGTGAATGGCTTTGGTTTGTGATGTTAGCATTAAGTTAATACATTGTGCGTTGTCATTCGGTGTGCATGCTTAACAGACAAACTACTATGTATAACGCTCGAAGGTTTCATGGTGAAAATACGAAACTACTGTGGGGCTTTTTAAAAAAAAAAGAAATATCAAAGAAAATGCGTTCAACAACATCAATATGCAACATTTCATAAGACTTTTCAGAAAAATGCACAAACATAATTTTCAAAACGATCTCAACAAGAATTTCCTGTATCTAAGATCTGTGATTAATGTCATGTTTCAATAAAGCCGTTTTGCAGAATTAATTTTCAATAGAAGAAGAAAATCATGACAATTACGCAGAAAAACGACATCAAGTATAAAGCGGTTTAAATTATTCAAGGCGAATTATTTCGACATTTTAAACAAGATTCTTTGTAATAGATATACTTTTAGAAATGTAATTTTACATGAAATGCTTATAATATTCGGACCAAATATAGATTTGTAGAATTTTTTTTACACACACACACACACTTGTGGGATCTCGATATATCAACATCATCATATATTGTCAAGCCCACATCAAACGGAATATGATATATTTGCAGTGTTTATTGCTTTCAGGTTAATAAAAATTTCAAATAACAGAAACAGTGAGATACACTGCAGAAATTTAACATGCTCAGCACGAACATCTACATTAAGATGAAATCAATAATGAACACATACTTGTGTTCGGCAAAAAAACGTCGTAATCATCATGAATGATTTCTGAAAATAAAATATGTGATATACGATTATAACTGCAATTTCAGTTCATACGACTTTAACAACATGGGTCATGATTAAAAGAGTTCTTAGTATAAAGACAATAAATCAAATATGCTGATGGTAAATGTATATTATTACTATAACTTAAGTATATATATAATTAAAAGTCAAAGAGTACGCTTAACAAAAACGAAATCAGAAATAATGGGATCATTGTAGCATTTCTTTTTAAAAGATTCTGTCTTACCAGAGTCACATGTCAAAATACAAAAAGGCCACGTGTCTATATAAACATTTCTGTTTCATGATAACTAGCATTATTAGATACCAATATGGCATTCGAGTGTCTATCAAAGAATTAATGAAATATTTGTTATTACTTTGGGTTACTCAAGCTGTCACGTTTTAAATTAAAATAAAAGCGTTCATCAAAGGAAAGCTTTAGAAATTGCCATCATATCATAACATCCATAGCTCTCATGTCAGACTGGCAAACCATCAATTTTGAGCATCTAGTCATGTAATCAAAATCTATTCGGATTCTTAAAATCCTGTTCATTTACCCTTTAAAAACTTTCATTCACTATTCAATTGGACGTTTTACTGACATTATTTTATAGAAAGCAAGAAGTTCATTAATCCGAAAATATCACTACGGTTTCAACGTAGTCTTTTGTCTCACGTAATCCAAATAAGATATTTGATATACTTTGTGATATTTTAAAGTGTCTTTTTGCGTAGTTTTGATAAAAAAACATATACTTATTATAAAGACAGAATTGAAGAAGTTCAAAATTGGCACCATTTTAAAGAGTTTATGTTTGAAAAGATCCAAAAATAGAATGGATATTAATAAAAGGGCAATAAATAATTAAATGCATTTATTTTGTGTAAGTATTGGAATCAAACATGAAAGAATATCTGAATAATAACCAACATTTATGTTTGATAACTTAATAATAATATGAAAATGTAGTCAATAAATATTGTCAAGTAGCAGGTCCCGGTGATTCCGGAAGTTTAGATCATTGGTTCTAATCAAAATTACTCGAGAAATAAATGTACTCTACATCCAGGTTTATGTTGTTATATTTTCTGGTCCTTCGGGATCATTGATGCCAACACTATAAAGTGTTGAGAATTGAGTACCGCTCAAGCCGGTGCTAGGGGGCGTGAGAGATGTTGCAATTATTCATTATCCCTCATGTACAGACTCAATCAAACCGAGTCTGCAATTCTTATGTTATTTTGTTGTCATTAATGCTTCCGAGGGATCACTTTGTTTCCAGAATTTTATAGCATTATGTTAAAGTTTATAAACTATACATATGGTGTTTCTTTCAAAGATTACTAGTAGCTTTGCCAGGAATTATTTCAAATTTCAACATGATGTATCTCGATATATTTTGATAAACAATGTGCAAATTTATGTAGTTGTATAAATTTGTAAGCATGGATATTCAACACATAAGAGAGCAATAAAAATGAACAACAAAAAATGAATAAATAAGTTAATTAATAAGTAAATAAATAAATGGAAACAGGTTAAGAATGATTAAATCAAGCAAATTAATTTAAATTGATATATGTAGTTAACCATGAGAATTTTGATTGTCTGTATGTTTGCCTCGCCCGAGGAACAAAGCAACAACCCCTGTCTAACGAATTCGTTGCTCACCATATTAAGTAAAGCGGGCAATGAGGAATTCAGAACATACAATTTGCTAAAGTGTTAAAGAATCAAAACGGTCAACGGTACATGATATTTCTAACTCCACATAAAATTAGTCCTAATTACTATCTTTGTAGCATATTATGATCGATGCTATCAAAGGAAAACGTTCTGATTATTTCTTACCTTTTACTTCTCTTATATTAATTTTTGGCTGGTTCAATAGTAATTGATTTTGTACTTCTTAAAAAATGATCTTTAAAATATTAGAAAGTTTAAATAATTTGTTTCGTTTTAGAATTAAAACATTCTCAAAATGCAGTGGTTTTGTGCTTAAGAAAACGATTAACTTAATTTTAAATAATATTTTTAATCTTCTATTAATTGTTTTACGTTTCTAAAATGTTCACCCATAATATGTTCATGTGTTGTCTACAATGATGTTATATGCCTAAACAAGAAAAAGCCCAGACCGTTATGAAGATGTGCTCCTATAACTATTTAAATTTTAACAGTCTTATTTAGTATAAATAGAGCTGTTACTGAAGATGATTAATACCCCCTACAGCAACTTTGACATTTTAAAAAATAAGAGGTGTGGAAAATATTTGGACTCATCCTATAGTAAATGAAGTATAAACTGTGCCTGAAAATATTTTTTCCTTTTTAAAGAACGGTGACCTTGACCTTAGGGGGTCGGAATGCAAAACCAACCGGGGTCTTCATATAAGCTCGCTATACATCAAGTTTGATTATAATATCTCATTTCTGAAACCTTTTTTTTATTTTAAGTTACGGTGACCTTGATCCGAGAAGGTCCAAATGCAATACCAAATGGAATCATCATATAAGCTTGGTATACACCAAGTTTGATTACAATATCTCATTCCTAACTCTAGTTATCGTCCGTAAACGGTTTTTTTGTCTACTTTTAGTAACAGTGGCATTGACCTTGGCCTCAGGGGGACCAAATGAAATATCAACATAAGGTTGCTATATACCAAGTTTGGTTACAATACCTCATGCCAAACTCTTGTTGTTGTCCGGAAACCATGATTCGGACTGATCGACCGACAAGCTGACTCCTATATATATACCACATGAACTTTGTTTGTGGGGGTATAATAACTGAATGTCATTTAATTTTGGTTGCATCATTCTACATGTATATAAGGTATATAATATGATCTCAAACATTTCTATACGGTGCTTAAATGTTGTACTTGGTTCAAAAGTTTTCAGAAGCATATGACTGCTCATACCTTCAAAAGTACTAGTGTACATGTACTTTTAAATAAGTACATCAATTAATAAATTCAAGAGTGCATTTTCGATAACGCTCTTGATTTTATCAAATAAACAGGCATTGATATTTGATGAAATTGACATAAAAAAGAAAAAAAGAAAAAGCTTTTTCGGTTAATGTATTCTCGGGGGAATGGTAGCTTATTTTTTATTTATATTGACGTCATATCTAAATTGACTAATAAATTTTCATGCATAATTAATATATTGTCTATCTATAGATAACATTACATACGCATGATTTTACATTAAATCTTGTTGTATGGTTTAAATGAGCACCGTGTTACATGAACTTTAACACGGAAATACACAATTGTTTAATAAATTCCTTTCTGCAAATATTTTACTTTTGAAACTTAACACTTTTGATCTTTTTAGACAAAAATTAACGTAAAAACTTTTCTTTTACTACAAAAATCAAAGTAAATGGAATGATAAAATTACTTTGTAAAAAATTAAAAATGATTGCACATACGCATTGGTTCTATTGCCCTTCTTCTATAATGAAAACAAAATGTACAATACTTCACAAGAATTATCAAATGTCTCATTTTGCAAAAGTCACAAATATATGGAAATGTTTGGAAAAAAATCAAACAACACATAAATGCGATACTAATCAGCAAAACTTAATGTTTAATATATGAAATGGTCAAAATTACATTTACCCTAATTATACAAATTAACCTGAGATTAATCGAAATATAGGAGTCGCACTGTACGAATTCGTGATCTCTATATAAAATGAAATGTCCCTTATAACGTTTTTTGACTTACAACTCTAAACTAATTGAATGAACAGAAATGTTTATTGACAGAATAAAATGATTGATGTGACATAATGCATATGCGTAAGTTTTAGATGTATCATTTAAGAGTTTATAATGTCTTGGAGCATAAAAGAAAATTGTAGAAAATGGTGATAAATCTCATGACGCCGGTTTATCGGAATAAATTAAATCAGCGATAATGTTGACTATGTTTTGCGTGTATGCAGTAGTCAACAGATCCATCTTTGAAAGTAATTTGAGTTTTCATATACCAGTTATATACATTGACACAGAATTATGACAATATATACGCTTAGTCGCATGATAAGGAAATATGTATTCAGATTAAGAACGACTGTCGCAACAGATAGCGTTCTACCCGTTGGATATCACACGAAATTGGTTAGATAATATTTTTCATCTATTGATCAACTGACTATTATTCGTTTCGGAGATATCAAAATGAGATTGTAATTTACTTAAGGCACAGTTTAGAGCCTTGTCAGACTGGACGGAAATTCCGGCGGCTTGCTTGGTTCTATACTGGAAGCAAATTAAAGCTATTCCCTTTCAGTTACAACACATTTAAACACATTTAACTAATAATAAATCCTATTGGTAAGATTTAAGGTTGGGACAGTCATCTATGTATCTCCCCTATTCATGTGAAGCTTTCACAACTTATTTTAAATTAGTCCTTCCATATCACCTTTGTTAAGATTTTCTTGAGTTGTGTTTCAGGGTAAAAATTTAGTATTTCTGTTGTGCTATAGGTATTGAAATATTTAAAGCATGTTTTGTTTCTAATGCTCTCCAGGGATCTTCCCTTTCCTAGAATTATTTACTTACAAACTTAATTGTTTAATGATGCCTGGCAGCTGTACAAACTTGCACCGTAATTTCTCGCGGTTAGGGTTTTTGGTTTTTTTGCAGGATCAATGATGCCAATGCTTACTGGTGTTTTTCTACTGATAAATATGTTAGGCTAAGAAAGAGATGTTGATTCTATTATGTGTTATGAAAAGACTAGCAAATACCAAAATCTGGAAACAAAGTGATCCCTCGGAAGCATTAATCACAACAAAAGTACAAGAGAAACTGCAAATTTCATCTTTTTACTTTAATTTGTTGTTTCTAATAAAGCAAATAAAGCATTGAACATATGCTTGCAAGTAATGATTTCGTATTCAAAATAGAAACTAATATTATTTTCAAACAATATGTTTTGAAAGGCTTAAGTTGATTAATATTGTCATCAATACTAGATGTAAGTGCTTTAGATCACATTGTCTACGCCAGCTTAATTATGCATTTGTTATTCACGAAAGGGGTTTTAAAAAAAATGTAAAAAAAATAAATAGTATATTTTAAAGAGAAAAAAATTTGACAAATTATTTTATGGGTTTTTGGGTGAGATATTGAATTATTGTTTTTTTTCTTTATCTTTTTGTAAATTTCCTTTTTTTCTGGTTATATGAAATGTTTAGAAATTTTTAATCTTAAAACATATAAAAATTTTTTGTTTCGTTTAGTGGAACTAGTACTAGACATTAAGACAAAATGGCCTCCATTTTACTTTTTTGTAGCCCCAATACTTATAAACGGATCTAGGGGGAATAACTTTGATAACATTGAGATATTACATCTCTTGTTTTCTAAAATGGTCCCTGGTGTTTGTCCTCAGACTACCAATGCTGATGATCTTGAAGAGCTTGGTCGCTTGTCTTTATCTTTTATTTGTAAAGAGCGTGCTTTGAACTACTGGTTACCGTAAATGAAAACTTATAGATCACTAGTGCATACAATTTTTCTTTGCAACAATATATTTTGTTATATAATAACGTCATGTCTACTTAGTCATCGTTTATTAAATGTCAGTTAGATAGCTTGGACAAAGTTATTTAAGGAATGCTCTTGGCCTTGATACCAATGCCAATGTTTAAACAAAGGCCGCGGGATCAGTACTTACAATCGTATTCAAAGTATTTAGATATAATTAAGAATAATCATCATAGAACGCCTAATTCACATTTTAAACATTCAGTTGTATTTTAAGAATTTAAATTCAAGACCGTGTTTTTAATTTCATGAATCCAATTAGAACAGAAAAGGTATAATATAAATATAAACTTATTTATTTTGCAATGCAATTGTGAGACATACACGTAAATATAAGGTTCAAAATCTTTCAACGCTGTTGAATTTACTTTTGCAACTTTTTAAATTGAACTTCATACATTGATACATTAATTTTTTCTCATTTTATATTTTGTAAGGTAAAGTATTCCAGGTTAAACGGTACTGACAAATCATATAAAATAATGATCAACATATGAAAAAGGCTTTGATAAACTACAAATTAATTTCCGTGCCAAATATTATCAAACCTATTATCAGTTGCACAATTGCCAGGGTTTCAGCTTTATATAGGGATAATACATTTAAATCAAAAGACAAATCAGAACCACTTGACAATACTACCCCTTTTTTTTTTGGACATATTACCCATTTTTACCTAATTTAGGTAAATTATCTGTTTGAAGTTTCTCCAAACGAACATGTATACAAAACAATTGTTTCTAATAAGAGACAGGAAATTTACAAAACAGACTTGTTCACTCTGATTTAAATGTTAAATCCGTGATTTACACGGAAACATCATGCCACCGACCTTGCTGTACTTACTGTAGTATTATTGTTAAATCTAATATTTTAAACCTAACAAAATTCCTATAAAACGTGATTTTTTTTATGTACATGTATATCTTCAGATGTTATTTACGTTATAACTTGTAAAATGTATAAAAAAATCAGCAAAACAATGTGTCGGCAAAAATTTAGCTAAAGAACAAATAGTCACCATCTTGATATTCAACACTTTTCTGACACTATTACCAACTTACCTGAACATTTGTATTTCGAAAGAAGATCCTATTAAAGATTTGTATTTCATGCCAATTGAAAGCAATAAATCAAAAATGCAAAAATAAATTTTATCAGTATTTAATGAACATCAATTCCTTACTGCATCGTATATTCATGCTGAGTGACATAAGAATCTCACCTTGCATTTTACTGCAAGCTGCTAAAGTCATATTGAGATTCCGAGATAAGAGAAGATAATTAATGCCATGTCTACTAAAATGTACTGTGAATGGAGTATTAGAAAGATTTTCATAGTAAAAAAGATATAAAATAAGAAAATGACCTGTACATACGTTTGGGGGCCCCGTAGTCAAATAGTCTAGTGTGCTGGTCTCTCATCAATGTAGATTCAAATCTCTTCAGGAACACTTGAATACTCAATGTGAGGAGGATATCCAGTCGTCTAGTTAGTTATTTTCCAAGAATAGTGCAACTAAAAAAAAATCGTACAACTGGTACTCATAAAAAATAAGATTATTTGTTATAGTGAACGTTAACGTCATCTCAACACTGATTTACCCATTTTTATGCATATTTTACATTGTCTATCTCTTTGTCGTCAGACAATCTACAGATAACATTTGATTACCAGGTTAATTTAACGCGGTAACTTGTCGCATGACTTTAGTCAAACTAATATAATTCTATTTTAACCAAATTATACGTCCGTTTACCATGATTATTCAGATCTTGAGATATCTTATACGTTAAATATACGTTAAAACTTAAGAGGTCGAGCAAATTGCTGCATTGCAGACTCATTCGGAAATAAGTAAATGAAAGAAAAACTATGCACTTATTTGAAAACTGGCAAGCTTATGTGAAACATAATTTTTGAAATTATTAAACATATGTTAGGGGCGTGTTTCACTTTTTCCATGTTATTAAATTTGTTGTTTTACATATATATTGTAGACAATGATATCTTAGATACATGCACATATAAATATTTTATGGTAAGGGTCAAAATACACAAATTTGTAATAAATTTTAAACAAAACACTTATCTTTATAGTTCTTTTACACAAAAATCATATTCAGTCAACCTGGAAAC